TCCGAGTAGTTGGCTATTTTCTCGGTAGTTTAAATTTTTTGTCTGCCTTACAGTTGCTTTGTTTCGAACAAAGGGCAAATCCAAACTTATTCCTCCTTGACTTGGACGTTCTATTTATATAGATGTCAACTGTAATCTCTTTAGGTGTTTTCTCTATTTTGTGCTGAATCTTTGATGACATTTTGGCCAAGTAGTAAAATAGATGCATCACTTCCCCTGTTATAATGTTACCTGCATGAACTATTCACATCATCTGCTATAGAAAAATAGGAAATATGAATATTAGAATACTACTTTTATTTTTTTTTTCTTTGGGGAATAGGAGCATGCTAATACCTACATAAAGGGATTAGATTCTAAGAAGCTGAATATAATTATATAGGGAAAGGGTTACATAAAAGAAGGGGACGAGGTTGGGCATGGTGGCTCACACCTGTAAGCTCAGCACTCTGGAAGGCCAAGGCAGGTAAATTGCTTGAGCTCAGGAGTTCAAGACCAGCCTGAGCAAGAGTGAGACCCCACTTCTACTAAAGATAGAAAAACTAGGGTGTTATAGCAGGCGCCTGTAGTCCAGCGACTCAGGAGGCTGAGACAAGAGGATTGCTTGAGTCCAAGAGACTGAGGTTGGTGTGAGCTATGACAGCACAGCACTCTACCCAGGACAACAGAGTGAGACTCTGTCACAAAAAACAAAAAATTAAAGAAGGAAAGGAAAGGAAGCAATGTAACATAGGGCATGTGTCTCAGCCCAGTCACTAAATACAAACAAGAAGATAAAAGTTTAAGCATACATGTCTTAATTCACCTTCTGTTTTTTTCTAAGTGACCACTTTTATCGACTCAGATTTGTTTAGCAGGTACTCGTCTGTTTCTTTAATATGCATCACTGATCATTCTCACTGGGGGCACCTGACTAAATCCTTACACATCAACCTGGAGCCTGGCAGCACAGCCTGGCCCTGGAGTGCATTCTCCCAGGCCTTCATTTTGGTGCAGTGCCTGCTGCTGTTATGCTCAGTCGGTCTCAGCCTCAGGGCCTGCCTGAGGAAACTGTCTCAGAGATTATCTTATTTCAAACCCTTCATTACACAGAAGTTACTTCTTTTTTCTTTGTTTCTTTTCTTTTTTTTTTTTTTTGAGACAGAGTCTCCCTATGTATGTCGCCCTAGGTAGAGTGCTGTGGTGTCACAGCTCACAGCAACCTCTAACTCTTGGGCTCAAGCGATTCTCTTGCCTCAGCCTCCCATATAACTGATGCCCACCACAACGCCTGGCTACTTTTAGAGATAGGGTCTGGCTCTTGTTCAGGCTGGTGTTGAACTCTCAAGTTCCAAGCAATCCACTTGCCTTGGCTTCCCAGAATGCTAGGATTACATTCCTAGTGTGAGCCTGGCCTTCTGAGGTTACTTCTTCTTCTTCTTTTTTTATTTTTTTTTGAGACAAAGTCTCATTTTGTTGTCCCAGGGTAGGGTGCCATGGTAGCACAGCTCACAGCAACCTCAAACTCTTGGGCTCAAGCAATTCTCTTGCCTCAGCCTCCCGAGTAACTGGGACTATAGATGATACCCGCCATAATGGCCAGCTATTTTTAGAGATGGGGGTCTCGCTGGGATTACAGGCATGAGCCACCACATCTAGCTTGGTTACTTCTAATAGTTTATGAGTCAATGGACAAAATATTGATGTAAGACAAATTTTGACTCTGAATTTCCTCATTCTTTGAGTAAATAATTTCTTCCAGTTCCTCTAGAAAGTCTTAATCTCCTTTTTGTCTCACATAAGAGAAGTCATTTCAGAAGCATAATGGAGGACTAAAGTCAACAATCACACAAATCCATTCCCAGATGGCTGAGGAGGGGTGACAAGGTTGACTTAGAAGGGATTTAAAAATGGCCCAGCCTTGTGGCAGGCGCCTGTAATCCCAGCTACTCAGGAGGCTGAGGCAGAAGAATTGCCTAAGCCCAAGAGCTGGAGGTTGCTGTGAGCTGTGACGTCACAGCACCGAGGGCGACAAACTGAAACCCTGTCTCTAAAAAAAAAGGAGGGGGATTTAAGACAGCAAGTTCTCTATAGTTCACAGTCTTCCTCATACACATTATAAAAAGCTGCTCTATTCTAAGTTTTTGGGATCCCAGCTCATTCACTTGGTATAGGGTTGTCAGATTATGCAAACAAACATACAGAATGTTCACTTAAGTTTGACTTTCAGATAAATAATAAATAATTTTGTAATACAAAGATGTCCTAAATATTTCATGATACATATTAAAAATTATACTTTGGTTATTTGAAGGTCAAATTTAATTGTATTTTATGCAACAACCTTAGCTGAGTGTCATCTTGTAAGAAACTAGGAACAGAGTATCTGTGACATTATTTCAGATAGGGGTTTCACAATGGCCTAAACCAATACAAAAACTTAAAAATTCTTTAGACCAAGATATCCACATCTGTCTTAAATCATCCCTTAGAAATATTTACTATGAGCTTTCTTTCTTTTCTTTCTTTTTTTTTTTTTTAAGACAGAGCCTCAAGCTATCCCCCTGGGTAGAGTGCCATGGCATCACAGCTCACAGCAACCTCCAACTCCTGGGCTCAAGCAAGTTT